TAATACAGGGTAACAGTACTTTTACTTGAGTACAGTAATATATTGCAGTGTAACAGTACTTTTACTTGAGTAGAGTAATATAGTACAGTGTAACAGTACTTTTACTTGAGTAGAGTAATATATTAGTACAGTGTAACAGTACTTTTACTTGAGTAGAGTAATATATAGTACAGTGTAACAGTACTTTTACTTGAGTAGAGTAATATATAATACAGTGTAACAGTACTTTTACTTGAGTAGAGTAATATATAGTACAGTGTAACAGTACTTTTACTTGAGTAGAGTAATATATTGCAGTGTAACAGTACTTTTACTTGAGTAGAGTAATATACAGTACAGTGTAACAGTACTTTTACTTGAGTAGAGTAATATATAATACAGTGTAACAGTACTTTTACTTGAGTAGAGTAATATATAGTACAGTGTAACAGTACTTTTACTTGAGTAGAGTAATATATAGTACAGTGTAACAGTACTTTTACTTGAGTAATATATAATACAGTGTAAGAGTATTTTTACTTGAGTAGTACAGTAACAGTACTTTTACTTGAGTAGAGTAATATAGTACAGTGTAACAGTACTTTTACTTGAGTAGAGTAATATATTGCAGTGTAACAGTACTTTTACTTGAGTAGAGTAATATACAGTACAGTGTAACAGTACTTTTACTTGAGTAGAGTAATATATAATACAGGGTAACAGTACTTTTACTTGAGTAGTACTTTAGTAGAGTAATATAGTACAGTGTAACAGTACTTTTACTTGAGTAGAGTAATATATTGCAGTGTAACAGTACTTTTACTTGAGTAGAGTAATGTACAGTACAATGTAACAGTACTTTTACTTGAGTAGAGTAATATATAATACAGTGTAACAGTACTTTTACTTGAGTAGAGTAATATAGTACAGTGTAACAGTACTTTTACTTGAGTACAGTAATATATTGCAGTGTAACAGTACTTTTACTTGAGTACAGTAATATATTGCAGTGTAACAGTACTTTTACTTGAATAGAATAATATAGTACAGTGTAACAGTACTTTTACTTGAGTAGAGTAATATATTGCAGTGTAACAGTACTTTTACTTGAGTAGAGTAATATACTACAGTGTAACAGTACTTTTACTTAAGTAGAGTAATATATTGCAGTGGAACAATACTTTTACTTGAGTAGAGTAATATATAGTACAGTGTAACAGTACTTTTACTTGAGTAGAGTAATATATATAGTACAGTGTAACAGTACTTTTACTTGAGTAGAGTAATATATAGTACAGTGTAACAGTACTTTTACTTGAGTAGAGTAATATATAGTACAGTGTAACAGTACTTTTACTTGAGTAGAGTAATATATTACAGTACAGTGTAACAGTACTTTTACTTGAGTACAGTAATATATTGCAGTGTAACAGTACTTTTACTTGAGTAGAGTAATATATAATACAGTGTAACAGTACTTTTACTTGAGTAGAGTAATATATAGTACAGTGTAACAGTACTTTTACTTGAGTAGAGTAATATTATATACAGTGGTAACAGTACTTTTACTTGAGTAGAGTAATATAGTACAGTGTAACAGTACTTTTACTTGAGTAGAGTAATATATATACAGTGTAACAGTACTTTTACTTGAGTACAGTAATATATTGCAGTTGTAACAGTACTTTTACTTGAGTAGAGTAAATACAGTATTAGTACAGTGTAACAGTACTTTTACTTGAGTAGAGTAATATATAATACAGTGTAACAGTACTTTTACTTGAGTAATATATAGTACAGTGTAACAGTACTTTTACTTGAGTAGAGTAATATACAGTACAGTGTAACAGTACTTTTACTTGAGTAGAGTAATATATAATACAGTGTAACAGTACTTTTACTTGAGTAATATATAATACAGTAACAGTACTTTTACTGGAGTAATATATAATACAGTGTAACAGTACTTTGACTAGAGTAATATATAATACAGTGTAAAAGTATTTTTACTTGAGTATTATATAATACAGTGTAACAGTACTTTTACTTGAGTAGAGTAATATATAGTACAGTGTAACAGTACTTTTACTTGAGTAGAGTAATATATAGTACAGTGTAACAGTACTTTTACTTGAGTAGAGTAATATATTGCAGTGTAACAGTACTTTTACTTGAGTAGAGTAATGTACAGTACAGTGTAACAGTACTTTTACTTGAGTAGAGTAATATAGTACAGTGTAACAGTACTTTTACTTGAGTACAGTAATATATTGCAGTGTAACAGTACTTTTACTTGAGTACAGTAATTTATTGCAGTGTAACAGTACTTTTACTTGAATAGAATAATATAGTACAGTTTAACAGTACTTCTACTTAAGTAGAGTAATACATTGCAGTGGAACAGTACTTTTACTTGAGTAAATGTAGCAGTTACTCTTTGCGCTCTTTCGATATATAAAAAAAACCCTACAGCAACATTGGTTGAACTGTCAGATCAGACATGTCGGAGGTGCGATTCTAGTTCCCACAGATGTTGTTGTGTCCTTGGGCAAGACACTTAACCCACCTCACCCCCTCTGGTGAATGTGTGTGTGTGTGTGTGTGTGTGTGTGTGTGTGTGTGTGTGTGTGTGTGTGTGTGTGTGTGTGTGTGTGTGTGTGTGTGTGTGTGTGTGTGTGTGTGTGTGTGTGGTTGTAAATGCGCTCGAAAGTGTATAAACATGTGACCATTTACCACTCTGAGTAAATCTACAAGTGACAAAACTTTATATTGACAATTTTCATAACGAGGGGTCGGATAAAACACAATTTCAACCAGATCCAACATGAGGACGGGTCCACGAGAATTTCATTTCATATTTATTTATTTATTTATTTATTTCCATTGGTTAAGGTTGGAAAATCTGTCCTCAGTGCAAATGAATGCAACGGTTTGTCTCATTTTATTGTCTAACTTCAAATACCAAACTGTGCATTATTTCACCTATTGTCCTTTAAAAGACATTCATTTCAAAGAATAAATCATTGTGGATGTTGGTCATTTCTTGATTCAGTTTGTTTGATTGAATCTTTAAACCTTTATATCCACACAAACCAAAAATGAACTAAACATTTGGTTAAATTCATGTCTCAGTTTTCTATAAATGTGCAGTTTGTGGTGTTTGTCTCCATCTGCTGGACACTTGTTGGTACTGCACTCTGTCATCTGAGTGTGTGTTTATGTTTCATTAGTAATTATAAAATGTGCAGTGTCGGGAAGGTGACTTTTAAAATGTAATCCCCTACAGATTACAGATTACAGACCGCAAAATGTAGTTTGTAACGTAATCCATTAAATTACTTAAAGTGAGTAATGTAATCTGAATACTTTGGATTACTTGATTTACTGTAGAGAAAAGCAAAGACGAGGAAATCTTCACATAAGAAGTTTTGTCTGATAAAAGAAAATAAAAAGACCAAACTTTATTAAAAATATTATTGATAGAAGAGGAGACATGATCCACGCAGCATGATTTAATTAAATCCTGTTTTAGACCTGGTTTTAGACCTGGTTTAGTCCTGGTTTAGTCCTGGTTTAATCCTGGTTTAGACCTGGTTTAGACCTGGTTTTAGACCTGGTTTAGACCTGGTTTTTAGACCTGGTTTTAGACCTGGTTTAGTTTAGACCTGGTTTAGACCTGGTTTACCTGGTCCTTTTAGACCTGGTTTAGACCTGGTTTTAGACCTGGTTTTAGACCTGGTTTTAGACCTGGTTTTAGACCTGGTTTTAGACCTGGTTTTAATCCTGGTTTAGGACCTGGTTTAGTCCTGGTTTAGACCTGGTTTTAGACCTGGTTTAGACCTGGTTTAGACCTGGTTTAGACCTGGTTTTAGACCTGGTTTTAATCCTGGTTTAGTCCTGGTTTAGACCTGGTTTAGTCTGGTTTAGTCCTGGTTTAGTCCTGGTTTAGACCTGGTTTAGACCTGGTTTAGTCCTGGTTTAGACCTGGTTTTAGACCTGGTTTTAGACCTGTTTTAATCCTGGTTTAGACCTGGTTTAGACCTGGTTTAGACCTGGTTTAGTCCTGGTTTAGTCCTGGTTTAGACCTGGTTTTAGACCTGGTTTTAGACCTGGTTTATCCTGGTTTAGTCCTGGTTTAGACCTGGTTTTAGACCTGGTTTAGTCCTGGTTTAGACCTGGTTTTAGACCTGGTTTTAGACCTGGTTTTAGACCTGGTTTTAATCCTGGTTTAGTCCTGGTTTAGACCTGGTTTTAGTCCTGGTTTAGTCCTGGTTTTAGTCCTGGTTTAGACCTGGTTTAGTCCTGGTTTAGACCTGGTTTTAGACCTGGTTTTAGACCTGTTTTAATCCTGGTTTAGTCCTGGTTTAGACCGGTTTTAGACCTGTTTTAGACCTGTTTTAGTCCTGGTTTAGTCCTGGTTTAGACCTGGTTTTAGACCTGGTTTTAGACCTGGTTTTAGACCTGTTTTAATCCTGGTTTAGACCTGGTTTAGACCTGGTTTTAGACCTGGTTTAGTCCTGGTTTAGTGTCCAGCAATGAGTGGAATTACCGAAAAAAAAAAAGGGGGGATTTAGCCCAAAATGTGAAAACAAGAAAATCCCGCTGTTTAATCCATTTATTCCAACAAAGTAACTGTAATCCAATGACCACTCACTGAAACAGTAACTGTAACTGAATACAGTTACTCATATGTAATCTGTTACTCCCCGACAGGTGCAGACGTGTCACTGTGATGCTTTTCAGACACAGAACAAACATAAAACACCAGAGTTTGGTCCAGAGTTTATTGGCACAGTGAGCACGTTTACGAAGACAAAACACTGAACAAATCTGAAACGGCCGAGGAAACGGAAGTGGAGGCAGCAGATCATTTTACAAAGTGACATGATTCGATTTGAAGCTTTTATCTGTGGACTCACACTCTCATTTTAATGAAGTTACAACAAGTTTTTGGTTTCCAGTCTGGTTTTCTCGTGAGTATCTGATGTACGGGGAGAATATTTGTGCGTTTACTAAATGTATTTGACTAAATATTTAATACCTGCATTCAAATGTGTTTTACTGTAGTCCAATCACAGTACTTTTTAAAATACTTTAAAATTAAATGTGATTCTAGTGTAAAAATGTGGTATAGTATTAGAAAAGCTTTTGGGTTTTGGAATAAAAAGTGTGTGTGCAGGACAGTCCCACAGGCCTCACTGTTAGAGCAGCTTCTCTGTGCGCACAAAAGCCCACAGTGATGCACCACCGCTACGGATTTTTTATTTTTTATTTTAGGAAATTACCTGAATTACTTAAAACTCCTTCCGTTTTTAAGATTATTCCAAAATGAGTTGTACTTTTGCGTTAGAGCTTTACCCTGCACACACATGTACGACTGGTAGGTGCAGGACTGTGAGCAGCTACAGGTCCTGGTCCTGGTCCTGGTCGTGTTCCGGGCCCCCGAGGGGACAGCTGACCCCGGTCCCCTTCAGACCGCAGTATCCTTTAGGTACTTTGTGGAGGTACTGCTGGTGATAATCCTCCGCGTAGTAAAACTGTGTGAGCTCAGAGATCTGAGTGGTGATGGAACCGAGGCCTTTCTCAGACAACTCCTGGAACACAGTACAAGTACACGCAGTATTATTATACTGTACATGATTATACTGTGTACTACAAGTAACACAAGTACACACAGTATTATTATACTGTACATGATTATACTGTGTACTACAAATAACACAAGTACACAGCAGTATTATTATACTGTACATGATTATACTGTGTACTACAAATAACACAAGTACACAGAGCATCAGTATACTGTGTACTTCAAATAACACCAGTATACAGTACATGATTACACTGTGTACTACAAATAAAACAAGTAGCCACAGTGAGGCGCCGGTGGCAAAAAAAACAAAACAAAAAAACAACTATCTTTGTGTCCTTAGGCAAGACACTTCACCCACATTGCCTAGTATGAAAGTGGTGTGTGTGTGTGTGTTGGTGTTGGTCTGAGGGGCCGATGGCGCAGATTGGCAGCCTCGCTTTAATCAGTCTGCCCCAGGGCAGCTGTGGCTACAGTAGTAGTTTACACCACTGAGTGTGGAGTGACTGAATAATGAAGTGTAAAGAGATTTGGGGATCTTCAAAGGCGATATATAAATGCAATCAATAATAAGTACACAAAGTATCATTATACTATGTACTACAAGTAACACAAGTACACAAAGTATCATTATACTATGTACTACAAGTAACACAAGTACACAAAGTATCATTATACTATGTACTACAAGTAACACAAGTACACAAAGTATCATTATACTATGTACTACAAGTAACACAAGTACACAGAGTATCAGTATACTGTGTACTTCAAATAACACCAGTACACAGTACATCATTAAACTCTGAAATTTTATCAGTGAAAAAGTCCCACACTTTTTCACCGACAAAATTTCATGACTTTTCCCCTGTTCACATTTAGATGCCAAATCCATATTTCCAGTTATTTTGGTGAGTAATTTAAAAGTGCTGCAACAGTAGATTAATGCCTTCGATTTTAAACACAGTAATACTGTAATGTAACGAAATACTTTGAAATGACAGAAACACGTCATAAATAACAGATGACAGTTTTGAAGTCACTTGCTCAACAGTGGTGCTCAGGTCAAAGATCAGGTCACTGTGCACATCTGCATCGAACTGTGTGGACAGCATCACATTTGTTACGGCGACTGTGACGGAAAAACTAAAGTTGTGATGCTCAGAATGTTTAAGACGCGTGAGGAAGAACTCTGGAAGCTGTGAAGTGTTTCAAATGAACCAGTTCTGTTTTTCATGTTTAAATGAAACTGTGACTTTTGAAAACATCACCATCCAAAGAGTAAAAAACCTGCACACGTGACTTCAAACTCTCGTAGTTGTAGCGCACGATTCTGTCCACACGGGGGCAGTGTCGTCTTACTTTCACACCGTGCACAGTGTTCAGCGCTGGACTTGTCATTTCCTTCACACATAAACAAATCCTAAAATGTCAGTTCACATTTCTATATTTTTGTCAATTTTTCTGGAAAAAAAGATAGAGAAAAAAGAAGAAAATGTGAATTTTGAACAGAATCTTGTCATTAAAAACATAAATCCCAAATGTAATCACAACGAGACAGTTTTCCTCAAATCGCTCAGAACAATAATGTGGACACGAGTGTAAATTCAGACAGAACTCTTTTTTGCACACGGCACTTTTACAACATACTAATCAAAACTAAAACCAAACTAAAAAAAAAATAACTTAAAAATGGTTTGTAATAAGAATTAAAGTCTCTTAAAAACGTGAAAAACAGAACCAGATCATTTAAAACAGTTTGCAGTGGCCCAAAGTTATTCCTCTCTTACCTTATGAAAGTTTATGAGAGTTTTGAACATAAAGCTGACAACTACTAGCATCCTAATCACACACATCCTGATTATCGGACAATAAAACACTTTATAACAGACGCGGACAGCACACAGTGGATTTATTTTGACCTCGAGAGTTGCTTTTAAAGCAATACATCTGTGCGAGGAAAGACAGATTTTGCTCAGACACAAGTGAAAAAACAGAATATAGGACCAAGAAACAAACAGAATTAAAATAAATAAAGATGAAACACGATTTGTAGAGAATTTAAACCAGTATAAGGCCTGTCAAGAAGGGTTGAAAATGAGATATTTGATGTTTATAATGATGTGGATTGGATTAATAAAACTACTACTAGTAAAAACCAAAACTAAATACTCGTTTGAGAAGGTATCAGTACTAAAAAAAAAACATTGACAAGACAGAAACGAACCTTTCTTCAGTAGTTCTTGAGCTGCACATGTACAAGAACACATTGTTTATATGCGCTTGAGTTTCCCGGTCAAGATAGATTTTTTTTTTTTTTGAGTATCTTGGTTTTGTGAGGGTCCGTGTAGACGTAATATCCTGATTTCAGTCTCCTGGATAAGCCAGTATATCAATCAATCAATCAATCAAACTTTATTTGTACATCACTTTTCATACATTTGAAATGTAGCAAAAAGTGCTTCACATGCAACAGAAAAATTACAATACAATAATTTAAAATCAAGAGCAACTCCCCATCCCAGTGTTTCATCCATATATACAACCATTTAAACATAAAAACAAAAACATAAAACTCCTAAAGGTTATTATAAAAATCAAAATGGAGACAAAGTAAAACAGTAATGATAATTTAATTTAGATAGTAGTATAATAATATATAATATATAATAGTTTAACCAGGTTAGTGCCTCTGCTCGATTTCATTTCTTTCCAACGACTAGGTCAAGAATCAGAACAAACTAGATGTGTCACAAAAACCCTGAAAGTGCGAGTTCGGGCACCAGCCAATCAGCGAAGAGTCAGACATTCTGTGTTGTCAACGATTCCCGAGATCGAGGATTTAAAACTGAACCAAAGAGAAGGTTTGGTGAATTTTATCAAGGGGAAAGACGTTATTGTCCTTCGTCCTACAAGATTTGACGCATTACAAACGTCACGACCAAACAGCAGCGATTGGTTAAATTGTCCAGTGGTTGTGAGGAAAACTACCTGGATTTGAACGTTGCCAAAACTAAGGACACGGTGATTGATTTTAGACGTGCACCTTCCCACAGTGTTGGTGTCGTCCACGGTGATGATCTTGAAATAGTTGATAGCTACAAATATCTGGGCACCGTGATGGACAATAAACTGAAATTTGACCTAAACACTGAAAGCGTCGTCAAACGAGGGCAGCAAAGATTATATTTATTGAGGAAACTGAACTCTTTTAATGTGAATAAAATGATTCTTAACCCATTTTTATTGTTCTTTTATCGAAAGTCTTCTTACTTTTTCTTTTATTTGCTGGTTTGAATCCTTGTCTGTGAAGGATAAAAACAAACTGCAGTCGGTTTTATGCCCCGATACAAAAGACTAACTAGTTCTCTAATTCTTTTGTGCCCTTTGCTATTAAGTTGTTAAATTCTAAGGGAACAGTTTTCTGAAAGTTTTACACTGTAATTTGTACTTTATTTTGAGTTCCACTGGTGAACTGTAAGGGACTAACCCACTGTGTTGTGTTTGTGTGTGTGTGAGAAGAGAGATGTTGCTAATGAATTGCCTTATGGGATCAATAAAGTTTTCTGAATCTGTTAAATAAAAAAGTGCCTGTCTACCGTAGAGCGAAGGAATCCTAACACTGCGAGGTCACACGGTTTCCACAAAGTGAAACCGTCTGATGAGTTTAAAGTCTCGTCTTAAGACCCACTTTTATTCTCTGGCTTTTAACACAGCCGTGAGTTGTGTGCTCCTCTGTGTTTTTTATTTATTTAATTTATTTTTTTTAATGTATTTTTACTATTTATTGGTATTCTGTGATTTTGCTCTTATTTCATTTGACTGGTTTTATTATTTTAACTTACTTCCTTGTGTTGCTCCTGAACTAAACTGATGCTTTGAGGCTCTGTTTGTGTTTTCCAACTGTTAAAAACGACTTTTACTGAAGCTGTGTTTACTGAAGCTCCACAGTCTCACGTTCTTACTTGAATGTACGTCTACTTTTTAACTGATAGAACCTCTTAATTCGGCAAAGTTGCTCCACGTTTAGCTCCTTGCCCAAATCTGTGCCATAGAAACCGGTGTAAATATCGAGGAGACTCTGGTTCCTCATGTGCACAGAGACGTGAATGTCCTGGTTTCTCTGAGCGCAGGTGAACACCACATCCAGAAAACTGTCAGAACCAGGATAAAGACTCATAACCGGGAAACTCCAGCACAAGTAAACAAACTTACAGACTAGTATGGAGCATAAGTCTTCATTTAAGCAAAGAGACTTGTAAGAGAGTCTTGTGAGAACTTTGTCGATACGATGTCACCATATTTCGGTTATTGTCACATCCACAGTTGTTGCAATATTAATCCTGCTCCACATTACATCGTAGTGCGTTCTTTTCTGTTCCCAGATGTGCTCTTGTATCTTTGTTCCGTAGTGTTTCATACGGGTCTGTGGCTGCGCTCGAGTGTTATGGATCTGGAGTTTACCTGCGCTCAAACAAATCTGTGCACACGAGGAATCAGAGTATCGTCGAATCCGTGTGTCGTTCGTTCATTCGTCTTTTAAATATAAAACCAAAAATAAGAAAACGAAAAAACAACAACTGTTTTCTTCGTTATTTGTCTCCAAAACCAAAATGATAAAACAGATTATGATGTGTATTTTTCAGTTTTCGATTTTGTGTTTAAATGAAAAATGGAAAAAACGGATGATGGCCGTTTACGTGACTTCCATGACTGCGATGTCGGACTTTTGCACTGCATATGGACTGAACCAGGACTGATCCAGGTCCGCACCGGGACCAGAGCGTGACTGAGACCAAGACCAGACCAAGACTGAGATCAGAACTGAAACCAGGACCAGACAGAGACTGAGACCAGAGTGGGACTGAGACCGAGACCAGACCGAGACTGAGATCAGAACTGAAACCAGGACCGGACAGAGACTGAGACCAGAGCGGGACTGAGACCGAGACCAGACTAGGACCAGGCCGGGACCAGACCGAGACTGAGACCGGAACAGAGACC